TATATATATATATATATATATATTATTTTTTATAGATACAATTGATAACTTCGTTAACAAAATAATTATAAATTTTAATTATTTTGACATATAATATATACTGGTCGTTAAAAATATTAAGATAAAACATGCAACTTAAATTAATTTTATTCGACAATTACTCTTGAAAATAGTATTATTCCATTTCTAATAATTGATAATTATCATAGAGTAAAATCTATTAATTACAAATTTTAATTTAGATTTAAATTTATATAGTTTAAAATATGATTTTTACGCTTGGAAAAATAATAAATAAGACTTAAAAAATATAATAAATATAAAATTAAAAAAAACATGGTAATTTATTAGAAAGTGATTTTAAGCCTAATTCAACTCAACAAAACCAGCTTGTAAGATGATGTTTACACTCCATTATATATTATAATTTGGCACGTGGAACTTTAACATTTTAAAAAAAATCAATAAAAATGGAAGAAAACATGATGTGATGAAATTGTTTTTTTTGGGATAATTTTAATTAGTTACATTATATTATATATATATATATATATATATATAATATAAAAATTTTTTGAGATCGAAATAATTTCTATTTAATATTTAAACTTCTAACTTTTAATTAAAATTTTCAATTAAAAAATTATGTATAGATAATATAGTATAAATTAGATTATGCTTCTACTCCCATCTTGCAGCAGACGATGACTACGAGGGCGGTGGTCTGTAAAGTTTTTTTTAAAAAAGAAAATTTTAGAGACAAAGTCTTATATATTTGACTAATTATTTTTAAGGGAGAAAATCTATGGCTTGAGTGAAAATAAATAATAAAACAATGATATACAGAACAGGTTCGGGAAAGCATGACATCAATGAAAAACATCTTTTAGTATTTTGAAAAACATTACATCATCATATAATATTATAGTTCATAAAACAATGTCAAAAACTATATGTTAATCTTATTTGTAACATCACATATTTTAATAGAATAAATCCTCTAAAATAAAGTATCACAAACTTCATAACTAAAAACAATACTTCATTATCCATTATTACATTTATAATTACTTCATTTATTTTCTCCTTTTATTTTAATAAAAAAAAACAGTTAATAAAAAATATAAAGAAATAATATGATGTAATCGTACATGAAACAAGTATAATGAAGACAATTACGATCTCACCCTCCCACCACTTACGTAGTCTCCTTCCTTAGTCCACTCAACCCAGCATGTAGTCCCAGCAGAGCAATTTAAATCCCACCTCTCCCACCACTTTTCTCCACCCAACCTGCAGCAGACGACGAAGACCGAAGGCAACTGTCTGTGACTCGACGGATAGCGGAACCAGCCAGTGCGGGGCAGCAGAAAAACAAGAGTGGAATCCTAATCTCCTTATCAGTGAATTTTCTTCACCCTCGCATGTTGTTGTGGATTTTATAAAAAAATTTCTTCGAACTCAACTTACTTGCAAAATTGCCGAGTTTTATGAGTTCACCATTCTACCCCTTATTACCGAGTTTACATTAAAATCGAGTTTAATTCTGAGTTTAGTCATCCGAGTTAACTCGCGAGTTTAGTAAGTATAGGATTTTTATATGAATTATTATGTGGAGTTTTTTTTATCGGTAACTATTTAGACAATAAAGTACTATAAACCTAATTAAGAAAAAGGAGTTTTATAATTTTAAAGAATGGAATGATTGTGAATGTTGTAAAAATTTTATTATGATTGAAGCAGAAGCATTGTTTGGTGGTGCTGGAAAAGTTTCTGCAAGGAAATGGATGGGAGAATGACTAAAGCTGCAGAGACAGGAAACGTTGACGAACTAGAAAGGTTGATGAGAGAAGACATATTGGTGCTGGATAGTATTGCCTTGCATGGAGCTCAAACTCCTCTACACATTGCATCAATGTGTGGTCACGTTTCTTTCGTACAAGAAATGTTGAAACTGAAGAAGCAATTTGTGTATGAACTCAACCAAGACGGGTTTACTGCCATGCACCTGGCCTCTGCCAATGGCCATGTTCAGGTCGTGCTTGAGCTTCTCAAAGTTGACCATCAACTGTGTCAAATTCAGGGGAGGGAGGGAACCCTTCCTCTCCACTGTGCCTCTGTCAAAGGAAGGATCCATGTTATGACGGCGTTGCTCTCTGCTGCTCCACTCACTGTTCAAAGCAAGACGGCCAGAGGGGAAACTCCGCTTCATATTGCGGTAAAAAACAACCACTTTGATGCAGTTAAGTTGCTGTTGGAACACGCCAAGGGATTGAAGATGGAAAGAGTAGTGTTGAATGACAAAGACAATCAAGCAAATACTGTCTTGCATCTCGCTGCCTCGAGGAAGCAATACCAGGTATCTGATTCAAGGGATTTAATAAGATCATTTACATAAAGAATAAAGCATAAAAATTGATAGTAATTTTACATTAATGCTAGAATTCTGAATAAAATAATAATCTAAATCATTAGCATNTTGTTGGGAGGAAACTTTAAAGGCTAGAAGGAAGTGTTTAAGATTGAGAGAGGTTGGAAGATTTTGAGAGAAGAGGAAAAACTTGTATTGAGTGCTTCTAAACTTTTTGGCTTGTTTTCAAATAATACAATCATCTCCTATTTATACTAATGGCACATCCTTAACCAATGGTTATGATCTTGCCACCACAACATTCATCTAAGGGTTATAATCTATTCTTTAGAACTTTTTAAAACATTCCTATAATTCTAAACTTATCTAGATATTTTTGTAGAACATTCTAAAATCCTTCTAGATACGATTTTCTAGAATACTAGGACTTTTGTTAATATTGGACTTTTATCTTTTAGGCCAAACATACAAAATCAATTTATATTTCAACATATACTTTATGTGCGGAGATGATATCACTTGTTATGCACTGGAATATGATTGGCTTTTCATTGATTATCCACGACTTCAAAGGTGCAGGTGAAGTTTACACACGTGGAGTGATGCTCAATTGAATTTTTCTGGTGGACTTGTTGCTTTGGAGAAAGTTCTCAATGGAGGGTTTAAGGTAAACTATAATGTTTCTCAAGTTTCCGCGAGATGCTTGGGAAGTGAAGGACTCTGCTGGAGAGATGGTATTGACAAACTTGTGAATTCTTGCTACTATTTCTTGTAAATAATGTATTTCTTTAGAAGTTTGTTAAAAAATAACAGTTGTATTTTTTTAGCTCTATTTATTAGCCATCTAATATAATTCTCATGTTTTAATTATTTATTTTAAGCACAATTATTCTTGTAATTATTATTTAAAATTTTATTAAAAAATTTAATGTTCAAAATTTTATATTAATCATATAACTATTATAAAAATCAATTTAATTAAATTGCAAAAGAAGTTACATACGGATTTACTTGAATTCCATATATAATTATATATGGATATTTTCGTATATACACAAATTATATTTGAATATTTTCATATATAATTATATATAAAATTATATTTATATTTTCGTATATAATTATATATAGAAATTACATACAGAAAAATTCATATTAACATTATCTACAATCATTTTATATATAAATTTTGATTGTATAGAACTGCAAATTTTCTTTTGTAGTGTTTTATGTCTCATGTGTCACTCACCTCAAAATTAGAATTCTTCCTAACGAAATCTGAAAAATTTAGAAAAAAACTATTTTCTCCCTTTTTTGTGTGAGGGTGTGTGTTGTCACCACAAAAGAATAACTTTCTCTTTTGCCAACTATGTAGCAGTGCACAACCTCGCTTAACTACATTAAACATTTGTTGTGAAAGTTATAAGCGAGTATATAT